ATCCCTACCCTGAGGCGCTTACAATCGAGGTATCTAGGTCAGTCAAAATTTAAAGTGGCTAACAAGTAAAGCAGAGTTGCAGAAAATTGTTCAGGAAGTGAACATTAGAAAGATGTAAAAAGAAGAGATGACTGGATATGTAAATGACAGCTACATTTTCTGTGAGCAACATAAAAACAAAGCATGAAAATAAATATATGTATATAAAAAAAACAACAGTCCCAGAAGCTGACACAAGGGTAAAAGCTATGAAATGAAGTAGAAGATCAAGCTGGATTCCAGACTGTGCAGAGCCCCAATGAGAGCAAAATCACTGAATTCAATTTAGAGAAAAAACTAAGATAAAGAAGCACGTCACAGAGCAGAGTGACATCTTATTTGTGGGAGGAAAAAATAGCATGCCTGACACAGAGATTTAGATAAATTTTTAACGTAAAAATTTAGAAGTTGAAAATTCACAGCTCCAAATAGATTTAAAATTGCTTTTCCCTCATTGTAATAAAATTTTAGATAATTGTTCACATTCATAGATGGTGGTATATATCTAAGGTAACAAGGAAACATTAATGGAATCAAAATCACCATAAGATATTATATATTTTTCTCTCAATTGTTCAAAATCCCTTGGTAATTAGAAGACATACTCTCCTTTGGATTTTGTTTTAAAAATAATTGTTCTACATCAGATTGTACATGTTTTAGCTTGGAAAGTCAGCTGCCTTTTTATTTTGTTTTACAGATGACAATTTCAGACTTTGGCACTGGGTGTCTTTCTTTCTTTCTTTCTTTTTTTTAAATTTCAATTATCCCACACTGAAGTTGGCAGGAAAACCAAGTAGATAGTTTATAAACACAGATAAAGTGCCACAGAGTAAATAACACACTATGAGAACACCCAGCAATTTACTGTTGAAATCCAGAGTAAGCGTGTGAAAGCTGTTCACTCCATGATGTCTCTCCTCTTCTGAATTGAAGATTTGCTTGGCTCTGTGTATCTAAGGCGGTGCTGCAAGGGCGTGGGTCAGGTGGGACCACGACCCTCCCCTGGGCTGGGAAGATTACTCATTAGTAATTACCCTGTGCCTCTCCCTCCGCACAGAGAGCCTGAGCCAAGCTGGAACTGGCTTTGTTGGGGTGGGGAGGCGGGGCGGGGGGGGGGAGGGGTGGATTTTCTCAGTTTGCCTCTGGCGACGATGGCGCTACCCCTCCTGGCTCCCCTGTTTGATTTCCCAAAGGAGAGTCACAGTTTTCTAGCCTTTTCTCTGTGGGGTGAGGAATGAGTTTCCCCACAAGTCTCCTCAGGCCACTGCAGAGACCTGCCAAAAATGGGTCATCTCCTCTCAGTGCGTCAGGAACCAGTGCTTTGGCTCTTGTAGGAAAGTGTCAGAATCACTTGTTACACCTAGGAGAGCTGAACATTTAGCCCATACCTAAGATCATTTAACATGAAGAAGACCCAAAAGATCACAGTTATGCGCTGAATTGTGTCCCCTCCAAATTCACAGGTTGAAGTCCTAACCCCCAGTACTTTAGAAGGGGACATTATAAAGACAGAGGGTTTTTACAGAGGTAATTAAGATAAAGTGAGGTCACTAGTGTGAGCCCTAACCCAGCAGGACTGGTATCTTCATAAAAAGGGGAAATTTGAACACAGAGACACACACAGAGGGAAGATGACATGAAGAGACAGGGAGAAGATGGCCATCCACAAGCCACAGGCAGAGGCCTGGAAGAAATCCTTTCCCTCGCAGCCCTTAGAGGGAACCAACTGTGCCAACACCTTGATTCAGACATACAGCCTCCAGAACTGAGACAATATATTGATATTTCCATTGGTTAAGCTGCCCAGTCTGTGATTCATTGTTACAGCAGCCCTAGAAGACCAATACAATCACTAAATACAAAGGTCACCTAATACAACTCTCTTGACTCTAGCTGAGGAACCCTTGGCAGAGAGATAGAAAAGGAGCTGCTCTTGTCACACAGTCTGTCAGTATCAGTTCCAGGACTGGAACCCTGTTTCCTGACACCGAATTCAGTGTGCCTCACCGCCCCAGGTGAGTGACCTCACCATCAGGAGGTCATTGAAGGGTCACTTTAATCAGTAGCGGTCACACTGAAGGACCTACACTCACTCAGCAACTCCGCACCATGATGGGAGCCGAGTGGGGACAGACCCAAGTGTCCACCCAGAAGATGGATCCTTTGAGCTCTCAGCACTTCATTCCCCTTCGTGAGGTGAAGCACCCACAGCAATGGCCCTTTGGGGTAAATCGTGAAACGATGGAGCTGTGGGGGAAGGTTTTAAGATAAATGTACCCATGGTTTATTTCACACTCCAACTTCAGACTCACAACTCCAGGGCCCAGGACTAATCTTCCACCAGCATAATGTAAGCAGTCTTTTTTCACCCTCTCCAACTCAGTGTGGGAAGCCATGGAGGAAGCTTGTTCCAGGGATCTGGAGAATGAACGGTCCAGGAGGGAAAGCTGCCTGGAGGGGTGACCAAATCTCACATCCAACACCTGTCTGCAACTTCACACAATCAGTCTGTAAGGTGGGCAAGTAAGAGGTCAGGCATCCCACACTGCTCTAGGGCAAACAAGAGTAGCATCTTTGTGTGTCTGCTGCCCTGCCATGTGCTATATTTAATATAGTCTTTTTCTCTAATTTATTAGGAAGAAATTTCTTAGTAGTGACATATTTGAACTGGGAAGCAACAGAAGTTTTTACATGACTACCATCTACCTCTTTTGACAAGGGGAATCTTAATCTTAAGTTCATGAACTCCCTGATGAGGAAAAAAAAAATCACATCTTTATTTTTGCTAACCTCTAACTAATCTTTAGCATTTCCTTCTATTTTGAATGTAGGCAATAAAGCAGTGGTATTAGCAATACCAGTAATAGAAATAGAATTCATTAATACAATCACAGATACATCAATTGTTAAGGCTATCAAATTTTCATTTATGCTCATCACAGCTTTGAAATGTTGGTAGTTATTACATCTACCATTCAGTATTATCATTTTATATATTCATTTAAAAAGGCAGATATTACATTTTTCCTTTGATAACTGCGTTTCAGTATAATTGATTTTTGGTAATCCTATGTGTTTTATTTATGCATGTATAAATGGTATCCTAAGAAAGGAGTCATAGACTTATCAGACTCCCAGTGGAGTCCATGACAAAAAGTTAGGAACCCTCACTGTGGCAGCAAGCACAGTCACTGGGAAAAACGTGACCGGCCAGAACTGTGAATGTTCCAGCATGTCATTTATAATCAGAAAAGAAGAGAAAAATCCACAGTACACTACTGAATCATGGGAATCTGATTAAAAACGCAGATAGTTATCCCAGAGAGTTGAGTTCAGGTAGTCCTGGGTGGAGTTTGTTTGTTTGTTTGTTTTTTAAAAGAGATTTTGAAGCAGGTGGTGTGAGGCCCACACTTTGAAAAACACAGATGTTGATGTTCTGCTAACCTAACCATTTTATGTTAACACATAATACCTATCCTGGATTATTTCTTTTTCACCCCTGGCTTCTAAATCCATAGTTAAGTAACACAAGCAAAAATTTATTTGACTTTACTTTGGGCTGCAAAAATAATTTTAAAAGTATTTTCACAAGTAACACAGTTTAGAATAGCATTTATGCTTCAGCACTTTTTAAAGATAGAGGCAAACAATGTCAAAAAGAGAAAAGTTAGACAGGCATACACAGGTCAGGGACCTAAAAAGGATTAATATCTTTTTTGAGCATAATGTACTTGGCTGATGTGAAAGATGAAGGAACCAAAGGCTGTAATGCTCGCAGGCATGTCTAGCTCTTTGGAAGTTTGCTTTTGCAAATTCCTCTACCTTTCTTGAGTTACATGATTCACCTTGTGTTCACATTGGCAGCTGACTGCCATTTTGCCAAGAAGTTGATAGAATTTGCAAAGCAGTAATTGACATCTCTCCTGGAGAGGTACACAGCCCTTAAGTGATGGAGGCTTTAGTTAGTGGCCCTGTAAACTCGGCTCAAGTGTTCCGAGTAAACAGACTAATTACAAGAGCACTGGACGGACCAGCATGTTTGCTCTGGGTGTGAAGCAAGCATCGTTTTCTCAAAGCTAGTGCAGGACCTTGGAGGCCTCTTAGCTCAGCAGCTACTATAGTATGAAGTATCAGAAAATACAAAAGAAGCTTTAAAAAATGATTTGCATAGTGTGTATCTTTTCACCCTGGTCCGTTTCAATTGCATATCATTGTATCTAGGACAAAAATGCATCCAGCTATTAAGAAATTTAAATTGTAAAAGTTTCCCCAACTTACTTTATTGGTAGCTTTATTATAGACCTTATTAGAGCCTACCTTGTACTCTCTCGCCCTGGACTGAAAGCCCCTGGAGGGTAGGAATATCATTTCAGGGCTGGCCTGGCTCAGAGCTTTCCTGATTCAGCTCTTGATGTTGGAGACCTTTCCACAGCAGGGGCTTACGTGGAACAACTCAAGGACCTTACTGTGATCTGTCCTCCTGGCCTAGCGTCTCTATTCACCAGGGCTGGGGCCTGGGTTGGAGTCCTGGCTCTGCCACTTACCAGCTATATGACCTGACTTTAGGCCAGAAAGTTACTAGATATTTCCAAACCTCAATTTCCTTGTCTGTGTAAAGGAGATAATAAGGGCCTCTTCCTCTCAGATTTGTTGTGGGAATCACAAGAGATGATGCATGTGAAGCACTTAAGACAGCACCTGGGAAGTGCTCAGGAATTGTTAGCTACTATTATTTTCAACCAAAAACATGGACAAAACATGAAAATGATGCTACTGTGAAATCTTGAACCAAGGAAGCCTCAGATAATGGCAGTCAACAATCTGAGTAACAGAACCACATGACAGAGCAGCTCTTAGCCAGGTCCACACATCAGAATCACCTGGAGAGCTTTCTCGACATTCTAACAAGCCAGAGTTGCTGGGAAGATGTGAGAAACCCTCGCCTTCTGAACACTTACCTTTTTGTGATAATGACCCTGGAGCAGTATTTCTGGGCAGATGGTGCTGGGGGGAGTCTGGGATCTACAAGGCCTCTGGGAGCCACAGATGGGGTCTCCTAAGAACAGTTAATAACTTGCTGTTCATTTACAGAAGAGTCCATGTTAGCAGGTCTTTTCAACTGGTCTTCTATATTTCAATATTTTTTTCTTTTCAGATTCATATTTATAAGCAAGAGATAAGTCACAGAATTCCCCTGTAAAAGATGATTTAAAAAGTCTGCATTCCATATTCACTTAAAAATGGTTAAAATGGCAACTTTTATGTCATATATGTATATATCTTGCTACAATTAAAAAAAAATAATGTAATAGGCCAAAACCCAATATCCTTTAAATGGGTGCATTGTATGATATGTGAATTATATCTCAATAAAGCTCTTTTTTAAATCTATTCAAAATAGGGGGAAAAAATTTCAATCATTTTTGCATGAAAGAGGCCCCAACAAATGTCTTTGTCCTCAGAAGCTAGAACTCATAACTAACTTCCTCTATGCATGTTTTCAGCCAAAGCAAAGCTTTTGGTCACTTGGGACTCAGAGATTTTCCTTAGAAAATGGTAACTTAGGTCTCCTAAGAAGAAGAAAGAGGGGGAAGAGAAGTAGGAGAAAAAACTAAAAATAAATATGTAATTATAAGGTGTTTCTTCCTATCTAACTCAGTAATCCTATTTTTATCATTAGGAAATAGCAAAATAGCTCTTTGGCCATTATTCTTCTCCAATCTCCTTTTTTCCCTTAATCTTGCTTTCTCTTCCCTGAAATAATCAGGTTATTCCTTGGGATGCCCTTGGGGAGGACAGAGCCTTTGCATCAACTCCCCACTGCAGCTTGCCCTTTCCTCAGTCACACATAAGATTGTTCTTCTAATCTGCATCCAACAAAGTCACAGGAAGGTGTGAGGGGTTATCAAAAAGAAGCATCTCTGGAAAAGTTAACTACAGTGAGTTAACTTTCCCAGAGACGCTTCTCTTTGAAAAGTTTAGCTCGTTACCTAAAATGGATGACTGTCTGGGGGCTGTATATATCCAAGGTAAATTTGATCAGATGGGCTTTTCCATCCATCTCAGATATAACCACAGTACACTGTGTGTGTGCGCGCCAGAGGCTGTCACCATCTATCTTTCCCCTGGAGTTAAAATCCTCCATTCCAGGTGGATGCCACTGAGGTGAATGATGTAGTTGGCCTTACCTTCAAACTCAGTCTGCTCGACCTGAAGATGGTATTTTGGAAAATTTGTCTCACTGGAGAAACAGCAAAGCCATTTCTAGAGCACGTGTCCATGTCCTTCACTGTTTACAAAGCAGGGATGGAAGATTAAAAGATTTTTAAATGCACTGCACTCAGAAAGTACCGCTTTAGTGTTTTAAAGGTTAAGAGATTCATCTATGGTCAGCTGGTCAACTAATGGCCAACAGAGCTGGAAATGGAAACACCCAGTTACTCAAGTCCTCAAATCACTGCCTGGGCTTTAATTTCCTTATCTGTCTGTTATGGTTGAGAAGCCAAGAAAGAGATTATATGACCTTCAAGGTCCTTCCTAGGTCTATGACTACAGTTTTACATCAGGGAATGTCTCATCAGCATAGTGACAAATTAGCCAACATTGCCCCACCTAAGGGTAACTCAGGATCATTCTGCTTTTTTTTAATCTACGGTACTGGGTAGAAGATTCATCCCTCTTCTGAATACAATATTAGATATACAAATGCACAGATCAGAATCCGTGATCATCATAGAAAAACATACAAGGAGTGACTCAAATGTGTGTAGTCTTATATAATGATGTCATTGTACCAATGGCAGATTGAGAATGTCTAGGCAGTAGGGGTGACAATCTGGTTGTTAGCTGAGAATTGGCATTATAGTCAGCTTTTCTTTCTCCCAGCAACTCCCGTGGTGGTCTCACTTGCATCAGGAGAACAGGAGCCACATTCTCCATCTGCTGCTTGAGAAAGAGCACAGGCTTTGGAATCAGCCCACCCTCCTCTGGTTTCTTGTAAGTCAGAACCCTTACTTGAAATAGCCCAAATCTCTCCCACCAGTCCCCCATCCATCCTCTGTTTTACTCACATTTATCTTTTGAGCTTCCCTACTAGTGTTTCCACCTCACCCTTCCTTCCTTTGGCGCCCCTCCAGCCCCTACACAGATCTCACTGCACCCTGTGCCTTCCTACTCCTCCCTTGGGAGGTAGTGACTATTACTGTCTTCATCTTGCAGAGGAGGGAGCTGAGGCACAGAGCTAGTCTAGTGATATTGACTTGAAACAGTAGTGGGGACTTCAAAGTGGAAGAACGTTAATGAGGCTGGAGAAATAAGGAGGTTGACCCAGAGGGCAGGAAAGGGGAAGAGATTTTCCTCTTACTGCCTTTTCTCCACAGCAAGGCCCACTTGCCCTGGAACTCAGGATCCCTGGAATGACTCAGTCAGTCAGTTAAGAAATCACTGAAGGTACATGTTTTATGTTGCACGGCCCAGGTTAAAATGAGGATTAGGCAGTTTGCTGCTGATTCCACACTTTTTTTGCATCATTCAAGGGGTTCAGAGGCTGCTTTGGGCACACGTGTTATGGAGACAGACTCCTGTGGCTCAGTTCTGTGCCTCTTGTTGTCGATATTCCCTGAGATACGAGGAGCATAGCAGCCCTTGGGTGATATTTTCCCAACTCCCATAAAACATAGGCTTGTAAATTAAAGGGAAAACCCACCACACATGCTTCGTATGTGAACCCAAAATTTTACCTCATTCGTGGTCCTTACGTATTCAATTAATATGCATAATTTTCATTTATGAAATCCTGGCGATGATTCAACTGAGAAATGAATTAGCTTCTTCCTGTTATATCATCTTTGTTTGAATACTGACCCTGCCGCTTTCAAAATGTGTAACCTGTACTAATTACTTAAACTTTCTGAGCCTCAGTTTTCTTACATGTACAATGAGGATAAAAACAGTTTCTGCTTCTAGGTTGGAAAAATTAAATGAGTGAATACATATAAACTGCCTAGTCCACAGTAACATTCAAATATTGCTGTTATTTTGTTGTGTATTAAACATACATTTATTGAGTATCTTAGTACTGGCCGGGTACCAGTTGTATGTTAAGCCCTAGGAATACGCAGATGAATATTTTCCTTATTAAACCCTCCAAGTTTAAAATTTTTTTCAGATGATTTACTAAGATATAAACAATGCTGCCAGATAACAGGAATTAGAAGTACATAAGATAGATAAGGCCAAGGGAAGAAGAAGAAGGGGCAAACTTGGAGGCAGGAAAACTTCCCTGAAGGGTCACATACTTGCTAAGGGTGGGCCACCTTTCTGGCTCTGGACTTCCCTGCAGCCAACAGGAAGCTGCAAAGTTGAACAAGACAGAGATTTCCGACCTCAGGGAGCTCTGAGTCTAGTTGAGGAAACAGATGTGTAAACAAACAATTACGGTGCAATGTGATGAATGCAAAAGTGGAAGTTCTCTGGCAGGCTTTACAGAGGAAGTGATATTTGAGATTGGTTTTCAAGGATGGAGAGGGTTATAGATACTAACCAGGAAACAGGACAGCACAGACAAAGGCTTGGAGCCTTGAAGAGCACTGCTGTCAGCTTGGAAAACGGGGTAAAATTTATTAGAGTCTCATCAGAGAAGTTCTAGAAGGCATCCAGTTGCTTAATTTTTTTTTTCCCCCATGAAATAATGACAGGGCTCACGATAAGTGTTCCATGCCAGCAAGAACAATAAACACAGCTTTAAAGAAATCAGAGTGAAGTTTAAAAATCAGGCAAGGGCTTCCCGGGTGGCGCAGTGGTTGAGAGTCCGCCTGCCGATGCAGGGGACGCAGGTTCGTGCCCCGGTCCGGGAAGATCCCACATGCTGCGGAGCGGCTAGGCCCGTGAGCCATGGCCGCTGGGCCTGCGCATCCGGAGCCTGTGCTCCGCAACGGGAGAGGCCACAACTGTGAGAGGCCCGCGTAGTGCAAAAAAAATCAGGCAAAATGCCAAGGAAAGAAAAGAAAAGAAACCTTAAAACTCTACCTCTCTCACTATATGTCCACTAAGATTTGGATTTCCTCAGGAATCTGTTGGGAAGGAGAGGGTTCTACGCTTAGATATAAATATTTAGCAATTCACTGTCATCTAAAAACAGCATCAGAAACAGAGAACTAACAGGATAGAATTTTGGAACGATGTCAGATCATTAGAAATCAAAGAAAAGAGGCATAAATAATTTTTTTTAAAAATAGCCGGATAGTGGTAAAGCTGAGATGAGACCACTTCCTACTTTCGAGTCTCTTTTCCAGCTGACCACGTGGATTCTCCCAATATACAAGTACATTACAATGTTTTCAAAATTCTTCCAGCTTGACATAAACGTGTCCTTACATCTACAGATACCCAATTCAAAAATAACTTACTTTCAAAGAAGAACAAATGACTGAAACTTGACTGAAGTTTTCTTTTTGCACATGGCCATGCCACTGACCCCACTGGCTTAAACTGTCTTCCCAGAAATCCTTTATCTTCTTGGCTGATTAATGATCTTTTAGCAGTGAATCCTAACACCACATTCTGGGCTGGTTCCATCTGGCTCTCAATCAAGAAACTGAGAACAAATTGAGAACAAATCTGGTGAACAAATTGTAAGATAGGGCTTCCCTGGTGGCACAGGGGTTGAGAGTCCGCCTGCCGATGCAGGGGACATGGGTTCGTGCACCGGTCCGGGAAGATCCCACATGCCATGGAGCGGCTGGGCCCGTGAGCCATGGCCACTGAGCCTGCGCGTCTGGAGCCTGTGCTCCGCAACGGGAGAGGCCACAACAGTGAGAGGCCCGCGTACCGCAAAAAAAAAAAATTGTAAGATAAATGACAAGGACTGGGGCAACACAGGTAAGTATGGGATGTGTATCTTTGGTAACTCCCAACTTCCTTCTCAGTTTTGGGGGGTGTTTTTTCTCTCCCCCTGATATCAATTACACATTGCCCAACAGCTGTCCAAAGCCTCCACTTTCACTTTTCACCCTTATGAATGCCGAACAGTCTCCATTATTATTAGCAGTATTAACATATACTACTATACAGTGTAAAAACTCCTTTCTATTACCTCTTTCGATCCACAAAACAAGCAAGGATTATTACCGGGACACACGCACAAGGAAGCCAGGAGCAGGAAGCCTGAAGGACCTGGCCATTAGCATATGGTCT